CGGGATGGAAACGAGCCATGGTCAAGGCCACCTTCATTCCCTTGACCTGAGTGACAAGCCTAGGTGGACTCTAGTGTGCTAATACTCACCCTGCCAGCAACGGCTGCAAAACATGGGCCTGCTGTTGGGACCAGGGGACGAGGGAGAAAGAGATTCCAGGCAAAGGAAGATGGGTGGATGAAGGCGTGGAATTCGCCAATGGCATGGTGTTGGCGGCTCGTGAAGAGTGACCTCTTCTCAAAATCATCAGAGGTTCTCTAAAGTACAGATTCCTAGCCCGATCCCAGACAAACCCATTGTGTCCAACATGCTGCTGGTAGGGCCAGGGAATTAGCATGTTTACCAGGTGCCCTAACTGCGTTGTCAATAGGAGCCATTGAAAGTTTTTGAACAGGGGAGTGGCATGGATCAATGCACTCGGTTGCTGGGACAGCCCTGCGGAGAATGCGTGTGGGGGGGGAGGGCCGGGGAAGAAGAGATTCTAACTGGAGAGGCACAGAACGGGGGCCGTAGGGTGTAATGGGTAGAAGAGTGCAGATTAGGAAACTGGTGCAGGGCTGGGCAATTGAGTGGATGCGGAGCCAGGTGTAGAGAGAGAGAGATCAGGAATAATTCTGGGGTCTGGATGTCGTGACTGGCCTTTCCTGTCAAAGGGGCCCCGTTGGCACTCAGAAGGTGAGTGTTGTTCATCACAATCCGTCCTGTGAAAGGTTACAGGAGGAAATCAATAAAAGATGGTTTCCCTGTAACACACCCCCCCCCACACACACACACACAAATCCCTAGATGGTATAAGCGTATGTTTTTTCAAATAGTACGGTTTAGAGTAAGTTTCACCAAAATTGGTCTAATTTTTTTTGGCAGTTTTGACCACAAAAAGGATTCTCGTAGTTATCTGGGATGTTCACTTATAACGTCTCATTTCCCTAATAATGTGAGAATATGAGCAGAGTAGGGACTTATGTTCAGACCCAATCTTAAAAGAGGGCAAGACGTGAGCAGAGGAGGGCGCTGTGGGAGCCCGTGGTATCTGCCAGCATCCAGGCACCGGATGAACAAATCAGGGCAAGTGCTGACCCGCTTAGCTAACGTCATCACCATGATGACCATCTTAGAGCAAAGCTGTCAAGCTTCAATAAAGATGAAAGCTGTTTAAAGCAGCCTTATCCTGAAATAATTGTGTGTGTATACACATATATATGTATATATGTGTGTATATATACATATATATATATACATATGTGTATGTATACATATATATACATATACGTATGTGTATATATACATACATGTATGTATACATACACACACACACCACACAACTCCTGTATTAAAGGGTGACCATAAAAAAGTAATAAAATAAAAATAAAAACAACTGTCAAATAACACAGGCTGGCAGAAGCCTGAACACCAACGATAACACCATTAACATGGGGAGAAACCCAATGGTCCTGGGGAATCAGTCACACCTGTCGCAGGAAATTGTATGAGCAGCTGTGTTGACACTTGTCCCCTTCAGTTTCCCTGGACACCAAAGGCCACTCACGGAGGGTCTCAGGTCCAGGAAGAGTGGACTGTGTGAGTGGCCAGGAGCAGTTTCCTGAGGCCCCCTCGTCCTTGAGCTGCGGTGAAGTGTCCCTCGTCACTGTGGCTAAGCCGCAGGCAGCTAAATGTGTGGGTCTTCACAGCTCATTTTCTGCTCTCTTTTGACCTTACACCTGAGTCATCTTTTATTTATGTCCTCCCATAGCATTTCCATAGGATGGTTGTGGTCAACACCATTCATCAACCTCTAATGGGCTCAAATGGAACTCTAAAATCCCCCGGGACCTGCCTTGATCTAAGAAAGGAAAAATCGCGAATGGCACTTCTTAAACTCGGAATTTATGTCTTCCCATAAATTGACCTTGTAGGGTTATTTGTGGATTCCAATAGGGAAATGACCTTCACAGGCCCCTGCACCTCCTCAGCCCTCCCTGCTCCCGCCCCCACCAGCCAATGCTGACGTCTTCCGTCCGATCCCGTTAAGCTCCAGGCCAGGGTCACCGGGGACAGCATCACGGCTGGGTGTCGAGGCTTGTTCCTTCTGCCATTTGTTCATCTATTTGCTGAGTATTTATTGCACGCCTGCTTTTTCCAGGCAGGGTGCTAAGTGCTGGAGACACAGTGAGCAGACAGTGTGTGCTCTCATGGACTTCCCACCTAAACAAATAATGACACAGCTCTCATTCAAGGGAAACTGTAAAGTGAGCTCTGGAGAAGCATGGATGCTGTGGACTCTCTGGGCGGCTTTGGCAGGCTCTGTCGCCCGCCCCTCCTATTAAGACGGGTCTCTGGGTGGCAGGAGGTGACAGTGTATGAGACACATCTCTCGACACCCCCTAAACCACCACCAACCTACTCAGCCCTTTGGTGTGAAGTCTCCACCTCTGATCATCCCTGCCCTGGCCAGGGATCTCCTGTGCTCTGCTCCGCACCCAGCTCCTGGCTCCCTCCTTCAGACAGCAGCCCAATTACTGGGTCCTTCTGACCTAAGGCTCAGGTCCCTGGGGGATGCCACCTGCCAGGGGTCCCCCGGACTGTAAGGGAGGAAGGGAGGTCAGAGCATCCTTAGGGCAAAGCCCACTCATCCTCCCACAAGCTTTGATTTGTTTTACAATGTGCAAATCTCCTTTTTCTGATGATAAAACTAAAATACATATATTACAAGAGAAGTAGCATTTATGTAAAATAATGTTTTACTTAAGATACTTTATATACAACATTTATAGTGAAAATAACATTTCAGAAGAGGATAAAGTTCAAGTTCAACCAACGTATTCCCATCTTTTACATCTATTGCCAGAAAGAACCACTTTTAACAGTTTGGTACTTATTCTTCTAGATATGTTTGTGTTTATGTAAACATACGTGTTTATCTTCATATCGTCCTACATCTGCATATTGTCCTGTGATTGGCTTTTTTTCATGTGAAAATTCATCACAGACACTTTTCAGAACAGTACGTGTAGATTCCCCTTGTCCTTGCCAGCTGCCCCATATTTCACTGTAGGAATGCACCGTAACTTCTCAGGGAATCAATCCCCCATTAACGAACATTTAAATCCTGCCATATTCTGTTGTAATAATCTTGTAGCAATGACTATCCCTACATAGATGGTCCTCAACTTTAGATGGTTCAACTTACATTTTTTTCAACTTTAAGGATGGTGTAGAAGTGATCTGCACTCAATAAACGCTGTACTTGGAATTTTGAATCTGGACCTCTTTCCTGGACCAGGACCAGCCTCTCTCAGGAGGCTGGACAGGAGTGAACAGCCACCGCCACCACCCCCACCCCACCCCCCGCCCCCGGTCAGCCACGCGATCAGGAGGGCCCACAGCCTGTGCACCTCCAACCATTCTGCACCCAACAGCCATTCGGTTTTTCACTTTCAGTACAGCAGTCAGTAAATTACATGAGATATTCAGCACTTTATTATAAAATAAGCTTTGTGTTAGATGACTTTGCCCAGGCTAAGGTCAGCGTTCTGAGCACGTTTAAGGTAGGCGAGGCTAGGCTAACCTGGGATGTTCGGTAGGTTGGATGTAGTCAGTGCTTTTAAACTTATTTTCAACTTCCAAAGGGCTGTTAGGATGTAATTGCATCACAAGTTGAGGAAGATCTGTATACCCCTCTGTGTCAAATTCTTCTTAGAAAGGTATTTTGGGTCTAACATCATGCATTGTTACTGGATTTTCATACACAATAAAGTACTCTTCATCACCCTTCACTTAACACGTGGCTGGATGGACTGATGAACCTCATTTGCTTCTAGTTTATTCCTCTCTGAGAGTTGTATACCCCTGCTTCCCACAGTAGACTCCAGTCCTCAGCTAAAGTGTTTGTGGCTGAATCTGTTTATTCCAGTTGTTACTGTAAATGTGCAATTTATTTAATTGGTATATAAACCAAAGAGGTATGGGGGGAAAGAAAGTGTTGTTAAAAAAAGAGTTTGTGGTACATTTTTCTGACTCCCAACTTGAACTAAAAAAAAAAAAAATTAATATCTAATCACCTACCCCAGTCATATCAGATACAGTGGCTTCAACTGACTCAAATTTCATTGACAGTGTGACCATGTTTCTGAGTTACATCCACTCTTGATCTACCTTGCCAGTATTCTCTGGAAAAACATCCCGTAGCTGTTTGGTTTAGTTGTAAATTGGATTATTGTTTCTCCTTAGAAATACTTAAGAACCAGGCATGTCTTATCTAGGGCAGCCAATGAATCTACCTTATAAAAGTTGACTTTTAGCCTTCCTGTTTACCCACCGACAGAGACGTGATGTGCAACCTCACAGAAGAGAAATAGAAAATCTAGAAATCAGATGTTGCCTTCAAAAGTGAGAGACCGTACACAAACATCGTGTCACTCTCTAACCTAATATGACCTTAGAAATTATTTTACAGCCTCTCCAAACTCTAAAAATCTTTTATGTGACTCCTGTGGGTACTCAGTCATTATTTGATGGATGTACAGATACCCGGGGAAATACATTTCTGTAGGGCTGGCTCTACGGGGATCTCCAATTAAGTCAGAATGAATTAAGAAGGAAGCCACACTGCATTCACTCAACAAATATTTATTAAGTGCCAACTGTATACCGGTCGACTGGTAACGTCTGGGTTACGGTAGGTAGTGGGTACCCTGGGTAATAGTTCTGTCAAGATGCTCGTCATGTAGCTAAAGACTGCAGGCCACAGGGGAAATGCAGAAATGCAATTTAGTCAACAGAGCAAGCAATCTTGGAAATGCTCAGACCGCATGCGCACCTGGCCAGTGGAACAGGAGGCAAAATGACGACGAGAAAGATTTCTCATGAGATCTGTGAATTCTCTGTATCTCCCCACGGCTTGCCCGCGTGACCTGAAGTATCAACTTTACTCACCCTGTACGGCAATTGACAAAGCACTGCAGGGATTGCGAGACATCTCACTGCTGTGTTTTCTCTTCCAGGATATCAATGAGTGTATTCTTGAAAACTATCCTGAGTGTTCCAACCCCAGATTATTTTACATCATTCCATATTTTTGTGGACAGCATCCCAGATGCAGGTAAAGACTAAAAAGGACAATGGCAGGAAAGCCACCCGGGGGCACTGCGTGGGGAATCTCTTGTATGCCTACTCCCTCAGCCTTCTGGAATTCAGTTTATGTTTACTATTAATCTCCAAAGATTGCTTTGGAGACTCTGAATGTGCTATGTAGGAAGAAATGAACGGATCAGGGTCTGACAGAGGCCTTGGGACCCGCCCGTAAAGATGTGTAACTGAAATGCCAACCAGACCCTTTTTTTATTCTTAACTCATAGCTGTCCCTGCTCAGCCCATGAGATAGTAAAGACCAGCGGACATCACCCCACTGCTCCCCCATAGCGCCTGTATTTCATCGGCACCCGTCCTTGCCTACGTGCCCTGTCTAATTGGGTGTGAAACACTGGGCGCTCACACCCCAAAATCTGACAGTGTCTCTCTCAGGAGACACATCTTGTAGAAAAAGAGGAATGGGCTTCCTAGTCCTCAGCCCCTCAGCCTTACTTGGATGCAAGACCTTCTTTAGAAAGTGACTCACTCAGATGGTAAGGCCCTCAGAGTGTGGTCTGCCCACCTCCTGCATCAGCGTCCCCAGGGCACTTGCTAGAAATCCCCACCTAATCACAGTGCCTGAGGTGGGGGCACAGATGATTCTCGTGAGCCTGGTCTCGCTGCAGTTTAAGTTCATTGTACTAGACAAACGTGTAGCCTGGAGAAAAAAAAAAATGATAGTAACAATGAATATGATCTTCACGTGTTGGAAAATAAAGCCGAAGTGACATTTTCCTGCAAAGGGAGCACTGACTAGAAGGTCAGTGTGTTCCGGAAAAGATCGAGAGAAGAAACTGTTTCTGAAGTACAACCCATCCGTTGTACTTCTGGCCTGCTCAGTGATTACTGCTTAATTATTATGTGTGTTGTTGCTGTTGCCGCTTTGCTGAGTTTCCTGTAACACGGGACTCTGTTTACGGTCTGAAATCTGGAACTAGAAGCCTCAGCTTTCTGCTTTATCAGAAACTTCCTGAGTTCAGGAGGCCTCCCCACTCCAATCCTCACCGCTGTATAAGTGCCTCCTGGTTCACGGTCAGTGCTTCAGACGCTGGGAAGATTTGGGGCCAGATGACTCACTTTCTGTCACAGTGAACATATTTATTCCAAGAAACATGATCCTAACTCCCTCGAGTGTTTTTTGTTTTTTGTTTTTTGTTTTAATTATATATTTCCTAATCCTGGGGCGAGCACTCATGATGCCTTCTCCTGGTGCACAGACGATGATTTTCAAAACTCTTTCAAAATGTCCCGTTGTTCCCTCAATTATTTGAGCTGGGTTAGGTTTATTATTACAGTTTTTCAAAAGAGAATCCTGGCTTGCCCAAATTCCCTCGGATGGGAAATGCCAGCCATGCCTGGAGCCCAGCTCCCATGACTCCCATCCTTTCCTCCTCACAGAAATGCACTTGGCTCAGAGATCTGCCTTGCAGATGAGATGAGGCCATTTTCCTTCTGTAAAACAAAACAAAACAAAACAAAAAACATAAAAGCTTGTCTTTAAACTCTTTTAAAGAATAAGATGATTAGCAGGGATGACCTAAAACTGATTTTGATTTCTATAGAACTACTGTACCAGTAAGTTTCAGATTTCATATCTTCTAGCTTTATTGGTTTGGTCCTTCTATTAAAAAGCCATTCTGATCAACCCTTTGATCAGTGTTTATGGGACCTAATTGCCTGTGTGTGTATTCTTCCCAAAAATATTTTGACCAGGGCCTCAGGGGGCGAGGCACCACCCACAGGTAAACATGATAGCGGTAAGAGGTGGAAAAGCAAATGGCAGCTGGAAGGCTCCCAGCGGCAGCCATATTAGAGCTGATCCTTAAGGAGGTGGGATTGGGGCTCAAACGAATGGTGGAGGGCGGGTTGAAGAGATACATTCTCAGCATGTTGTTCCTGCATTTCGAAAATGAATCTTTGATTTGAAATCATTTTTGTATCCACGAAGGGAGCCTGGTGAGTGGGCCCTTGAAAGAGCAAAACTGAACGTGAATGAAAACTTCCTGCTTGTGGGGATTCTTGAAGAGTTGGAAGATGTGCTGCTTTTACTGGAAAGATTTTTACCTCATTACTTCAAGGGTGTGCTCAGTATCTACAAAGACCCAGGTAATTCCTTCTGTAGCAAGCTCTTTGGTGTTTTGGGGGGTTACTCACCTTGAACAGGACTCAGGCAATAAAAGGAGTAGAACCTTCTCTCCTGTTAATGAAGAGAAGTTGCCCTGACCTTCAAAGGAAGCTTAGAAACCTCCAGACATAGATGCCAAAACTGGGAGCTTCAGGTCCAGACCTAAACTTGCCATGTGTGAAAGGCCTGCTGGCTCCATTTCTCCCTTTGGAAAGTGAAGCTGGCAACATTGGCATTGACCTTGGTCCAGGGCTGTTGCCAGAGTCCACTGATGGAAGTGGGTGTGAAGGAACCATCAGGTGATCCTGTGTCTGGGCCCTACTTCCATCTGACAAAGCACTCTGGCATATCCAATTCTGGCAATAGAATAGACACAGAAGCAAATTGAAAACGCAATTACGATTTTATTCTCACGAACGGCGTGGTTTCCAAATAGAAGTGAGAAATGGAATGCAGCAGAGAACAAGTGCAGAGGGTGCCTGTGGTATCACTGTAAAGATAATTACTTTCAGAAACCCATCATTTATTTTTCTCATTATTATCATATCCGGAGAGAACGGCAAACAACGTTGTTTCTCGCCCATTCTCCTTAATCTACTGCTGCCCTGCAAGCCTTGCATACTTATTCACTCCTCTGGTTGTTGTTTCATCATCCTGAAATGGGAGACAGCCTTCTGCTGTGTAGAAATGAGGTTCCCCAAACAGATGAAAGGTTCCCCAAACGCAGCCTTGGTGCCTCCCGTTCACCACCAGGCAGGTACCTCGCACCCCACCTGCACCAGGAGCAGGTGCCGATGCCCATGTGAACTGGTCTTTGCCCAGAGGGGCCCTGTTACATCAGGTGGCCCCTGCCACCGCCAGGGGTTTGCACGAGGAAGATAGCTGGCGGGTGGGTGCTGTCCTGGTCTCAGCTCTCTCCCTCCGAGGTAACTTCTGACGTGCACATGACCAGGAACCTTCACGCGAGCCCTGCAGGTCTGTCTCCTCAACAGGAAATGCAGTTTGAATGGCTGGAAGCATCATCGACCCTAGTCACTTTTTGAAAGTAGGCCTTCCTCTGCCCTTTCAACAGTGGGCAATTTAAAGAATTTGAAGAGCCATGCTGTGACCAATTTTTAGCTCTGTAAGATAACATAAACTCGGGTCTTTGTGCAAGGTGAGGTCTGACCCTAAGTTAGACTTTTTTGCAGAAAAAGTTTAGGTTATTCATTACTTCCGCTCTTTGGCTTTATCTGTTTGTATAGCATGCGTGTGTGCATGAGTGTGTGTGTGCACAAATACATATGTGCGCTTGTGTGTGTGATACATAGTACGAGATAACAGGTGAACGAGGTGCGCCTGGGTGGCTCAGTCGGTTGAACATCTGACTCTTGGTTTTGGCTCAGGTCATGATCCCAGGCTCGAGGGATCAAGTCCTGCCTTGGGCTCCACGCTGCGCATAGACCCTGCTTAGATTCTCTCTCTCTCCCTCTCTCTCTCTCTCTCTCTCTGCCCCCTCCCTCACTCATGCTCTCTCTCTCTCAAAAATAAAAAATCATAAAAATATTTTTTAAAAAATATGAACGAAACCCTGGAGACACAGAGTTGTCAAAAAAATGAACACACTCTCGTCCCAGCCTTTGAGAAGAGTTTCGGTCAGTCTACATCACACACGCCATCCGTCCTTGGATCTGGAACTAGTATCGTGGGCCCGATAAGTGAGGCATTTTATCTTTGTTCTTCTTAAATACAAATAGACCACAAATAAAAACCCCAGCCCCAAGAGCCCACTTATGTGCTGTTGTCAGAAGATATCCTCTTGACTTCTCAACTATCATCTCCATTTAGATGCGTGACTTCTCAGAAACTGGGCCTTTGTCCCATGATCCAGAAGCACATTTAGAACATATTTCTGAAAATTGAGTTACTATTAGCTCTTGTGGCTTCAGCCGCAGTCTTTCGACCTTATAAAGATTTTTATCCTTTTGAGTTAGGCCTAGGAGTATATTAAATAATCTGAGGCTTGCCGCCTTAGAGAGGGTAAGGGGGGGGTCCGATACTCCTGTGTGGTGGGATGAAAGGTTTCTCTAAGGCCGGGACCGACACATGGCCGGTTCACACAGTCCAGCGTATTAGTGGTTAAAATAGTGAAATATGCCTATACTGCCCTCAGTGCCCTTGCCACGCCCCCTCATCCAACAGTGAGGTAACAAAAGAGGTAATTCACAGGCATAGAGCGAGTCTTCAGGACTCTGGCCCAGGGCTACACTCAGCAAGTGTTGTGAATTCAGGTCCTGAGTGGACCTGGTTGCCACATATTTTGAATACCACCCCAGTGTGACGCTCTCAGCTGCCACACGACATGCATATAACAAACTGAACCCTTGAGTGATTGCTCAGAACTTTGCACCACGTTCTCTGGTCTCTCGGGCATCTTCTGGAGAGATTGTTGTGTGGTGACATTGGCAGCCAAGCAGCCCCACAACTGCTGTGTCTCAAGGAGTCCCACATCCCCTGGGGCAGGGGACAGGAGATGAACATCCACTCCTGGCCAGCTTCTCACTATATTTTAGCCTCTGCAAAGACTAAGCACCTGCACTGTTTTCTTGTGCTCAGCGCATTGGTGTCACCCAGGTTAAAGGAAAGAGTGACCTCAAGTCACTTTAGCGATCTCATACCAGAGCTGCCTCGTCAGCCCATTTTTAGTCTAAATTCTCGGACTATGGCACACCGAAATCATTGCTTTTGCCCTTTTTAAAGAATTTTATAACTGAGTAGCCTAGAGAACGGAAGGAAGAAACACTAAAATCGAAGACACTGCGGGATCTAGTGACCCTTGGATCATTGTAGATGAACTGACCATAGAGCCCGAGTGAGATGCAGACCCCCCACTGGCCATTTTTCTGTGACGCTTGTCTTGTTATTTTTAAACTGTAGGTGTGTGCTGATTTTTAGTAATCCCCCTACAGCAATCCGAAAAATATTTAGACCAGTCTCATTACTGAAGAAAAAGCACTTATAGCAATGACCGTCTGGGGAGCTCGTAAAAATAGTTAACGTCTGTTAGTCAAATGGGTTGTCACTTATTCAAGATAGGAATGATACCTCTTAATTCCTTGCAAATAGTACTGCTTGTTTGACTAGCCAACCATGTAGGGAAGTTCGTAACTTTTCTACGTAACAGCTCGACTGTTAGCCCCCACCTCGTGCATTTCTTGTAGGAGGGTATGCTGACAAGTGAATTTGTCTCCTCCCAAAAGTATTTGAGGAACTTAATTTTTAGAATTTTTTCTTAAAAAGTTATTTTTTTTTATTAATGTCTGTGTTCCGCGGAGACCCCTTTAGCATATCTCAGAAGAAATGTATAATAATAAGTACTCAAGAGGAAATAATAGTGAGTTTTAGCACATGAATAACCAAGAGAATTTTCTTGAATTTTCTAGAATTTTTCTTCAGATATTTCTGAAATTTCTAGAATTTTTCTTCAGATATTTCTTGCCAACCAGGGGTCACTTGTGGATGTCCAGGGAAGTACCCTGAAGTTTACCACTGAGTAAACTCCACTCAACCTTGCTTTGAGTTAGAATTAGAAAGAACTGGGTCCCCAACAGATGTGTTGGGTAAGAACAGCCAAACTCACTTGTTCGACCTACACAGTCTGATTTCTTTTTTTATTGATTAATCTGGATTATATTTGCTCATTACTTAACCTTTTCAGAGTGAGAAACTGGAGCCAGTCTAGAGAAGTTGAGAAGTTGATCCATAGTCACCCACCAAAATGTGGAAGTAAAAGGCAGAACTCAATATGTTTCTGAGCCATGAGTATTAATGTGCTTATGGATACTTTTTCTCCTTAACTCTTACAAACTGACATGCTGTGAGCCGCCAATATGTTTCTTAGTCATAATTTCTTTAGGAGCTCAAATCACAGTGGTGTTAGGAGCCAAAACAAATAAGCAAATTAATTAAAGGCAGAGAACATGTGAATATCTGTGATAGGAACAGCCCTTAAATGAATGTCCCTTGACTTGGCAAATGACCGAGCTGTTATGATTCAATAGCGCCACCTAGCATCCAGGCGTTGGAACTTCATGACCTAACATTAATCCCCATTATCTTTCTTCCGCTTGGAGGCTCGAAAGCTCCTGTGTCCAATTCTTTTCGCTTGTATTTTAAATACTTTCCGTTACTAGCATTACATTTGTATTCATTTTCAACTTTTTCCCATTACAAATGTAAACATTGGCGCCACAGTAGGGAATTTACTACACTTCTGTGGGTTGCCTTGAGACTCTGGCCACCAACCATTACAAAGGAAAAGTGTGTAATTCCAAACAAATGACTTATGTACTAACTCTGCAGAGTTCATTCATAAACTGAGCGCTTTAAAAAAAATACATATTTTTATGTAAGTATTTTTATAAGCGATGACAGAGTACAAATTTAAGTATTTTTTTCAACTATGCATGAATGATAATCAGACCTCCTATTAGAAGTATAGTAATGTACTCTGAGTTCATTTGCATTGTTGTATTTAAAGCTGAGGACATTTGGGGCGCCTGGGTGGCGCAGTCGGTTAAGCGTCCGACTTCAGCCAGGTCACGATCTCGCGGTCAGTGAGTTCGAGCCCCGCGTCGGGCTCTGGGCTGATGGCTCAGAGCCTGGAGCCTGTTTCCGATTCTGTGTCTCCCTCTCTCTCTGCCCCTCCCCCGTTCATGCTCTGTCTCTCTCTGTCCCAAAAATAAATAAACGTTGAAAAAAAAAAAAGCTGAGGACATCTACATAGAAAATAATAGCAAATATGTTGAAGAGAAAAGTTAATATGGTATGCTACAGGAAACATTCAAGTTTTCCTCCATCTATCAATAAAAATGCCAGACTGGGTTTAAACAAATGCTAAGTGATTAAAGCCTGGCCTATGTATCATAAAGAACAGCCATTCTTTAAAGAAAGAACACTGAGTTGGGAGTTACAGGAGACTCGAATCCTCTTCCTGCCGTGG